TGTGGACCAATTTCAACGTTTAAGGTGTCAAAAGATTCGTCTCAATATGTAGTTTTGCAATAAGGTTTTAGAATTTTGGAATTCCCACTCTTAAGGGTGTGAGACCTTCCCAAAGGTCGGGTTTTCCCCATAAGAAATACATGGAACAAATTTTAAAACAAAAAACAGCTGTTTATAAAAAGAAACTCATTAGCTTTTTGGGAGTAAATATTAATGTTTGTATTATTCAGGAGGTTAAGACCAAGTAAACAGTTAATCAGTTTTGTTGGAAGAACAGAAAATACCTCAAGTTCAAAGAAGAAATATTTAAAACGGGAGAATGAGAAAATTAATAATAAGATATCTTATGCATATGAAGAGAGTGGAAATAGAGAGGCGGCCTGGTCTAACAGATACCTATCCAGATATACATTCACTTGGTTAAAATAGTTAACCAACTTTCAATGGTGTTGCTGCCTTAGCCTATTCAAAGCAGATTAGTGCTGTCCAGTTGGCAACCCAGAGTTTGTAAGTAAAAAATGGAGCACATGAAATGGTTGATTCTGTATCACCCAACTTTTTAGGATTCTCTAAGGAGAAAATTTGTTTTATTAGGAGGATGTCTCAAATCAAAGAAATAAAATGACCCAGCTTAAATTGCTTAACACAGGTTATCAGTAAGGCAACAGTTTTCTTCAATTCACAATGCTGGAAAAACTTTCGCATCATGTTAACTCGAATTGAAGGAGATCGTTTAGTATTCATTATTATTAAGTTATTTATCAGTTAAAACTGAGAGCAGTAATAATGTAGGTGAACCTTGACGACGCAAATATAGATATTTAAAATTAGTTTCTAACAAAGTGTTTAAACAACTCTAAGATTTAACTAGAATTACTCTAATTTAAGCATAACGTTAACGTTTTCCTCGGGATTATGTTTCATACTATGCGGCTCATTGAGCCGCACGGGTTCTCTAGTGTTTTGTGTTTTGTGACATTCCCGAGAAAAAGCGAAGATAACGGTTTAGTGACGGAGTATCGGAGCAAGGTCATAATGACAAAACGACGAAACAAAAACATGGTTTGAGATCATAGTTGAAATTAATATGACTAAGCCGTTAAATTCAGCTTATAACCTTTTTATTGTTATTGTACTAAAAGTCAATTGTTAGGACCCTTTATAAGTTTGTAATTGATATTTCGCGTAAAACTACAATGATCTTAAGCTATATCAGGGCCATCAAATTCAAGGATTGTCTCTAGACGTGTCCAAGTCAAGACATCAAACCGCTTTTGCCTTTTCGGAGGAGCTTACTTAGCTTAGCTTACTTGTAATTGTAACCTTTAGTGATATTTGTCGGTATCAAATTTTACAAGTCGGTACTAACGGTAACGGAACAAAATTTACTCTCGGTGCCATTTCTATACAATCTAGCTACGACCGATTCTGGACATAGATTGATTCTGGACATGAGATTATTTTTGTCATAAGGCGATCAATAAATATGGTGAATACCTATCCATGAAAGTTAAACAGTAAAGATATGCGGTTGTCATTGTTTATCAAATAAAGTGGATTATTGGATTGCGTAACGCTTTATTGACTGATTTGATACCTACTGATTAATCCGATGTCATACCATTGGAGCTTTATCAAGCCAATATTCAATTTTGTGTTTTCACAATAATTTGCATTAGGCCTACTTTATCTTTTGCCTTTTAAGTTTGTATGTTCAAATTTAATTTAATTTATTAGATGGGGAAAATGGATAGCTTATTCACCCGGGACTCAATTAAACGGCGAGGATAAAGTTGGAAATAATAGAGGGTAACACTTCCAAATTAGAAACATTTTCGCAGAATTCTATGAGTATGCATGGAAAAATGTGTTTAAAGAGTGATAACCATATCTTTTTGTCATCGTGTAGGGATTTAGTAGAACAATATTTGTGTTTCTTCTAAATAGGCCGCGCTATCACACCGCACCAGGTCTTGCTTCGCACCTATCAAAGCCATTATAACGGCATTAAATCGTTAACATTTACACTACCTCAATCTATAGCAATTTCAGCATAGCCGTGGTGTATGTTTTCTAAGTTTCAAAGGAAGAATCGTAATGCTTTTTATGTGCCCAATTATCTTAATATTGTTAACATTTTATGCACCTATAATGAACCGTAACAAAATATTTTTTTAGTTATCTACGATCTGATAACGTCGTTGAATTTAGAATCGACAGACATACTAATAGCATACTAATATAGTATAAGCCTTAGGTTTTCTATTGAAACTTGATCAACGACATTTCCAATATACACTACAGTAGTTTATTTCCCAATAATTTTTAGCAAATTGTAGCTAAAGTTTTTTATAGCATGCAATTTTAAATTCATACGAGTATTTTGTAATGCTAAGTAATTTTTTTGAAGATACACTATGTAAATAATTATTTAATATAAATATGTAAAAATAATGCATATTATAGTGTTTTAGTATTGCAACCACATTAAGCTTCGGTTTACTTCATACCATAAACACAGACATACAAAAATTTTTTTAATTAAAACACTTGTATATTATATTCGGTTATTTATATCAGGCGTGAACGTACTTTTGGTTAGTTTGGTTTTGGATTTACGTTCCACAGCTATTGGAAATGGATGGCATAATTCCAAGTAGTATATCGAGGAATAAATTTGCAAAAATCTATTTTATATTATTTACCAAGCACGCATTAAAAATGTCTGTTTATTCTGCAGTATGACAAAGTAGTATATTACTTGACTGATTATTATATTACGTAAATAGTCCTGAAAAAAAGTGTTTACCGGACGAGTGTGGTCGTTCTCGTGCGAGACGAAGTCGAGTGCGGGATTACCATACGAGTCCGGTAAACACATTTTAGACGAGCGACGTACGATATTTCAGGAAATGGTACTGTAAGCTAACCTAACAATAAAAAATCTGTATAAATCCTTTTATATTACCACAGATTAAAGGACTAAGATCTAAGAGAGGTTATGTTTTGGTTTATTGACACTTATTGCCAAATATAATCAGCTGGTTGGTTTCCGGTAAAAACTTCATTGCAGTACAGTAGTACGTAATGAAACCCCATTTCATTAAACTGGTGGCAAACGGCTGTTTTCTGGACTACATCCTTGCGTGGGAAGTTCGTTTAACACTGTAGTATGACGTAAAATAAGTTTCTAACATCCTATGCACCTGCTTTACTTTTTCAAACGGCTGTGTGTTCAAATAATGGAATTATATATTTCGTAAATAAATACCTTTATCTTGCATTCACTCCGGAGTTTTGCAAATTGATCCAAAGAATGCTACTTTTTGTTAAAAGATAAATGTGAGTTTTTCAGATACTTGTTTTTACATTACGTTTAAAACATAATGTTTTACTTGTTTTAAGATGCGTTTACATTGGAGCTTACAACTAAATGAATAACACTTATGTTGGCTACATGGATTTATACACATTATGGAGTCTCAAGTTGAAATTTATTGCAACTACGCATTTTCTAAAATCGCAGCTAATGCTATAACCATTTTCAAAAGTAAGATCAAATTTCGAACTTTTTCCATCAATTATACACAAATATTTACCCTGTAGCAAAAGACAGGTAAAGCAACACTATTATTAAACTAAACCACCAACTCTATAGACAGTGATAACCGTGTTTTGACCATTTGTAAAAAAAAACCAAAAAAAAATTAAAACTTCTCAGCAACGACTCACCTACACAACTGTTTAGTTCATTGTTGTAACTAACTGCAGATGCAGTGTTCCTTCATTGTTGAATAATGCCGAACTCGACACTTGGGAATACGGAACGCACCAAACTATCACCTTAATTCCCAGACGCACAAGCACAGACTGAACGTGAACAGCGCGACCATTCCTCAGATTTACGTGAGAAATTATCGTGCAGCCACGACGAAATTATCGTATACCGTATGAAATTGTGGGAAACACTTTAGTAACCTTTCTAATTTACCTTCTATTGAATATAAAAAACTGTTGCATGCATGTTCTTGTACTAGTTTAGTGTGTAAATGTCGTATAAATTCTCTTCATTTTGTGTAGGACAGTGGACGATTTGTACTTAAGTAATACAGTAGTAAGGAAAGTAATGGTTTAACATTGTTTATATGATACTGACGAAAAAACAATAAATAGGATACATGAAAATTAACCTCACTTTAAAACTATACTCTATTACTTTAAGACTGTATTCAGCTGATCTATAAAGTATAGTAAATCTGTAAAGGGGTATCTTTATGCATAAACTAAGTAGCCTACATAAAAACTTGTCAAATTTTTTCTAGAGAATATTAATTAATGATTGTTAATTTAAATATGCCTGAGATCGTACAGTAGTTGAAAACTCTGGGAAAAATATGTAATGTAAAGGCTTCTAATTTCATCCCACGCTGTAAATACAGTAATACAGTATGTGATTGGAATTTCTTCAATTTCTTTTAATTTTTTGTTTATAATTTGTTGTTATTTCGTCACCAACATTGCAACACATAAGGCCCATGTAAATTTTTTTTTAATTTAAAATTGTTTTTTTAGCCTATTTTAATTTATAAAGAGATTCCGCACACATACAGAAAATATATTTCTAACAGTATGCTTAGATTTTCTTTGTGATGTACACGAGCTGAGAAAACAGGTTTTAAAGAAACATGCTTGCCTATTAATATATAAATTTTTAAAGAGGTTTGCGGCTTCTTTTAACCTTGCATTTGTCCGTTCACATAGGCTATGGAAAGTATCCATCAAAGCAAGGGATGATCCGGTACAGTAAAAGGGTGAACTGAATAAGGTAGCGGCAGTGACCAAGATCCGAACCCACGACATCGCTGCTTTGGGCCCGAAGCCCGTGACACTACCGACTGACCCACCGAATCACAATGTACTGTATTATTCTTTAAGAATACATGCCTCCCAAATTTGTTTTACAATTTGACGGTAAAAACTCAATTAAAATAAAACCTTACCCAGGTTTTGAGAAATCACGTAGTTTTGTTCCAAACTTGGGTAATCTGGAGGGCCTCCTCCTGATGTAGTTTGTTCCTTCATCTTCCGGGAAAACTCCCAACATCTTGAAACAAATTTTGATTTCCTCCAAATATTTACTACTTTTAATGTGCTTTCACTGACTTGGCCAACTATACACTTACATTAAAATAAGTTGTTCAGTTCACACTTCCTTGATATCAGCCCGCGGGATTATTATGGTTTTAACCCACTTACACCCCTTAAGTTATAAGCTGATCGAATTGCAAAACTATCTTTCACCCCTCTATACACTATCTTGATTCAACCCACAATATACAATTTTTGAGTGAAAGCTGCTAAACCAACACTATCTTGATTTTAATCCGCAAAACACTATCTTCCATCACACACTACCTGCACACTAATCCATACAACAGTGTTTCACTGCGAGAGGCGGTACACAAGTGTGCATACTAGATTCGCTCTTCTTTATTCAGCTGTGCGACATTTTGAACATTTCGTTCACAGTCAACAACTCTGTTGATAAATTAACTCTGATAGTAACGCCCGTGCGTCAACACATTAGGTGACATTTATAGCAGATGAAATGCAGCGTTCGTCGAGTTATGTAAGTTGATAAGTTGAGTGAATAGATCTGTCGGAATTGTACAGCTATTAATATATCAGTTTAAAATAAGATTTTCCATATAATTGTATCGGTACTCAAAGACAAGGTCATAATTATTTCTATTTAGATTTTAATGAATGAATGACTAGTGTAGTCATGGTGCAGTCCTACAACAATATACAATACCAAAATTAATCACTATTTATCAACATACTATATTTTATTTCACAATATTCCACTTTGGGAAGAGAGAAAACAACCCTTACGAATCCAATCATAGAATGATGGCGAATGTTTACGAAGATTCCAGAGAAATACTGTAAAATACTGTAGTAAACATTGAGAAAAGATAAACAAAACTGATGACATTAAAATGTGTTCAGGAAACTTCTACTTGGTGCTCTTAGCAAATCCTTCAAGTAACCATTACTACATCGTGGTAGTTATGGTTGGTTGGTTGTTCTAATTAGGCCCATTAAGGTATACATCAATGCTACAGTAGAACATATTCTATATAAAGTAGATATAAAGTCAATGATATAACCTTACACCTTACAAAAAAATGGTTCCATTTTCTCAATATTGAATTTAATTCGGAAACTCATTGCTAACTTTACCACAGCTGAAGCAGTAGCCCAGAACCGTTTGACTTGCTTCTGCTAGGACCAGAGTGTTGCGACAATATTACGTATCTCTTAGTTCTTAATCCATTGTTGATTAATCGGATTTGAACCATGGGGGCCGAAGTCCTGTACTATACCACTAGACCAGCTCGCTTTCCCTCTAGGAACACTATAAAATCACTAATAAGTCACTCGTTCACTGGCTGGATACGAACATATTTCCTTGAATAAATTAAGGAGTGATTTACTCATAGTTTACTAACAATGTGAATTTGATTACTAGGATGACAGCGAAGTATCATTAAGGACTACGAGTTAAATTGATTGAATTAATGCGCGAGACCAGCATGTATTAACGACCCACAGGTCTGCGCGCGCGCGTCTGAGAATCAGTGCTGAATCACCGTTGAATTAATTACTCTGTGTAGGTCAGGTGACATGTGACGTCATCACGTCAGCTGTTTATCGTCCAACAGCTGTTTTACAAGGCCATATTCATAATTTAAATGTTATACTATTGTAAGATCGTGTCGGTGCGATGTGGTTGTTACAGATGAAAGTTTTATGTAGTTACTCCTTACTTTGTACAATAGTTATTTGTGTAACTAGTACACTGCGTTTCAAATAAAATTTTTCCTGCAGTTACTAAAGCATATAAATAATCATTCTTTCAAACACAACTAACACGTTTTGAGTTAGGTTAAATCCAAGCATTGAACGAACAGCATCGAATGTTATACGAAATCGCGCAACAAAACAAATATTTAGATCTCCCACCTAAACATTAGTTTAATCTCAGAATTTGTCAAACCACTTTAGCAAATTATGAAAAACAAAACGGAAATTCCGGATCGGATTTCCGGCCAGGTTTCACTATGAGAGGTGAAAGTCTGAATGTTGTAAGCAATTTGTGGCGAGTCCTGCTAATGTCCTTGACGGACAAAAACTAACGTGTCCTGCACTCTTCCCATTATATCCTGCGTGCCTTTGAAGTTTTGCTTTTTACTTTTTTTTTATAATGTTGCAAGCTAGTTTTTTTGTTCTAGAATTCATATTTAGTTCTCCAATATGCGTTCCCGAGGTAAATGAGTGTTGTACTTATACTTGTCTAATTTTATCAAAAATTACTCCGTTTCGTATCCAAACCAGTTTTTCAGTTGTCTAGCTCCTTGGTAATAGTACGTTGATTAACAATTGAGAAGATCATCAGCACTTATGAGGAAGCATTTTTCTACTCAACAATAATAATTATTTTTTCTAGTGTAGCAAGTTTAAAAATAAAAAAAACATTGTTGAATTGAGCTTCCAATCTCAATTGAGCTTCCAATCTTAGAGGTATATGCTAAAAAATACTGTCTTATGTCACCTACTGTTATGTCAACTGTTCAATCAAACCCAACTGAAAGATCAAACTTCTGTTAATTATAGCGGTTCCTACATTCCTTATAACTATCATAGCAACACATCCTAAGACATAGAGAGAAATAGACAACAGCTAAATCTGTAAGAAACAGACTTAGCTGAAGAATAATCTGAATAAAATTTGAATAAAATTATTTGTTTCTATTTGAATAACGAAACAAATAGCTGCAGCTGGTCCATATCGTTTGAAAATCTACCAAGATATATAAGAGTTAATAATTCGACCCTATCAATTGATTGATTGGTATTAAATATAGCAGAAATGAAAAATCGAAAGATAATAGTGCAACCCACAATAAAACATATTTGCAATACAAACCAATGAGGTCTACGAAGTTTCAATCCGAACACCGGTGGCCTGGGAGGTCGTCTGCAGGTGAAGCTGCGTCTCAGGTTGGACATGTGGTCTTCAGGTTCCTCCAGCAGAGGGGAGAGCATCTTTCAGCCGAGATCAAACACTTAATGACGGAACTGATCAACTGAAGAAGTAGATTTTTATGTTCAATTTACGTTTATTTTGTATTACTGTGACCAAGAGAGACGCGAGAGTGACTGTATAAAAACTTCTTCCTTAAAAATGTGTTTTGTATTTGTTTCGATGATTTTAACACCAATATCCTGCCGTTAAAACATAATTTCAATTTATTTCTGTGGTTTTTATTGTCCATATAATTTTACTTTTTAACTTTCGATTACAAGGTCAAAGTTATACTTTTTAGGACTTTGCAAAGCTGTACCATAGTCTTAACTTGGATTGTTACACCCCATACACTTACATATTCAGAGTTAACTATTTGTGTAAGGAATAATGTTAAATACTAGAAGGGTAAGACACCCCTTTTTATCGAAATTGTTATGGCTATTACTTAAAAAATTAAGAGTTTGATAGTTTTATCAAAAGTGTATTAAATAATGCATTATAAAATACAATATATAAATTGAAGCTATGTTTCAAACACAAGTATTGAAATTTATCGAGAGAACTTACAAAACACACTCTTAAAACACTCACAATGGACGTGTTTCCACTATAAACACTAGTGATAAGGCTTCGAAAACAACACTATTTTGCATTTAAAATATACTCCTACCTAATGTAAAACCGTTTATCCATCACACAGTTTAACACAACGGTTGAGTGAATTAATCAATAATCAAGTGGATTATACAATAATCATCATGCATTACTGTAACAAGCTAGAGCACTTAGCTTATCTTGTAAAAACTAATCCTATGATTACGTTTATTGTTAATTGTCAAAGTGTGAGTAACCACCTTTAATTAATGAGTTGAATTTACACATGTTCCTCTTGGTAAAGGCTTGTACAACCTTTATCCCACTTACAAAACAACCAATCTTTGAAAAGGGACAATATAGTATAAAGGCACAAATCATTCAACCATTTACCTAGGAATAATCATACCTAAAACTTTGTACAAATACATGCATTTTACAGTATTAGATCGTGTGGACGCGTTTATAGAAATTAATAAATGAAATTTCAACGCAGGTTAAGCCTATTGTTAAGCTCAGTTTATCGTCTTTTAGACGTTCTTTAGGCTCAAACGATTAATCTAAAAAAAGTTTATGCACATAATTCCGTTTGAATTTGATATAATTTATTTAATCCAAACCAATTTTTAAGCCTTTAATACTATACTTCCTTAATACTCTATTCTGAAATGGTGACCATACTGATGTAGGTATTTTAAGTAGGTTTTTTTATTATGAATAGAGATGAGTGTAGGATGAGTTACGCGATCTTGTAGTAGTCTTCAGTCTTGTTGGTGAATAAAGCCTAATTGTATTGAAGTCTTAGCAACAGAATACGTAAAGATTTACTAAAATAATATATTTTACACTAATGAATATGGAAATAATGAGTTTGAATTACTAAGACAATAATAGGTTTTACATACCTCCGTCAAATAGTACAACGACTGTTTGTTTTAATTGTGTTTTTGACGAGTCGTAAGCTTTGAGAATGTTGTCTTCGCAATGAAATATGTAAGCTGATGAGCAATATTAATCATTTTACTATTTCATTATACGGAGGTATGTAAAACATTGTGAATTTCAACAAACTAAGCAAACTAGTATCGTTCGTATATATATTTTTTTAATTACATCATGTTTCAACCAGACAATAGAGCATCTCTCGCATGATCTTGACATAATCTCTATTCAGTCTCGACTATGACGGGTTAATGAACAATGAAAGACAGATTAGAGATCTCCGCTTCAAGCCGATCATTACGTCTGACCTCCAAACTGGCTGTAAGAACTAAAATAAAACAATAGTTTGCAATCTCTGTGATCAAAGGCTTGAATAACGAGCAAGGTACTCTTATTGGCTTATTTTCACATTTTTTTAGAACAGATGTATTTCCTTGAAGGAAATTATTGCTAATTGAAGATGGATTATATAGATGGACAGTTGAGTCATCGTCAAGGTTTACGTTCAAGCAATGCATCTTCTGGTCTATCTTGGCATTATTATTATTATTATTTTTTTTTTTTGTAAATGCAAACACTTGTTAATTTTTTATCTAAACGGATTTAAAATTTATGT